CCCCCGACGATGTAGGATGAGATGATATTACATGAGATGAGACGCGAGGACACGGCACGGTAGGTTAGACGGACGGGGTACGTAGAGACGGACATGGCAGAGCAAGTGAATGTGATGAAAATACCAGGTAGGCACGCAATGAACTCCATCTGAATGCTAGGACAGCTAGATTAATCACCTACTAGGTAATTAATAAGTAAAGATCAATCGCCATCTCAGCTCTAGCGGCACCAGCCTTGTGTAGTTGGTGTACACGCTATTACTCGCCAAAGTCATGGATGGCCATTCTTTCCCAATGTGGTCCGTGGGCGGGAGGTGCAGGGATGTGTACGAGGTATGGTGGTTACTACCTACTACCTAGGTACTGCAATGTTGTGTTGTGTTGTATTGCCTTCGAAAAGGCCGAATCTTTGTCGGATGGACTTGGGTCCGTGTCATGGGATGGGATGTGATGATGACCCAGACACATGCATACATATATACTGCCTCATCTCCCTCGTTGGCAGACATATGAAATCCTCTCTTCTTCTCTCACGGCAAGCGGTATCGATACACTCCCACAGGTACTTGGTGAAGTACGATCGAACACCATTTCTCATACACTCCTCCACAAATTAACAAGTCACCATGCCTCTCTGGCGCATCTTCTCCCATCCGTCAATCTTCAACACCTCCCAAAGAGAGGCCATCGCCAAAGCCCTCACTGACCTCTATGTCTCCGTTGGCCTCCCACCCTTCTACGTCGTCGTCTTATTCATTGATGTAGACGAGAAGGGCGTCTTCGTGGGAGGCGAATCGAAAAACAACTTTGTAAGAATAGCCGTTGAGCAGATTGCCAGGGTGATGATGGGACCCGAGACCGAAGAGGGAAAAGCCAGGAGGAAAGCGTGGATGGATCGGATCAACGAGGTGTGTACCCTGTTCCCTTGCGCCAATCCTTTGTGGACAGATCTCGAAGTGAAAAGAGTCCACCTGAGAGTTCTTCGCTTGTCTGCCACCTTGACTCGATTTTCCTCGAGCGGCATGTAATAACAGAGCTGTACAGGTCTTGAAGCCCTTCATCATCGACAGGTCCGAGTTGGAGTGGGAGCTGCACATCTATGAGACACCCCGTGATCTTTGGAGAGTTCAGGGACTGGATCCTCCACCTCCATCCTCGGAGGCAGAGAAGATGTGGTCGGAGAAGAACAAGGCTGTCCCATATTGAGCCGAGCAGTCCCGATTTCCGGCATGTCATTTGTGCATATTGGTGACGAGATATCGTTTCGAGGGACATATCCTGCAGAGCTTTTCTCACGCGAGCTTCGGAGCAAAATACCAGAGTGCTGTGAGCGCGGAGAGAACGGTCACGCCGGCAACTTGTCGAACCCACTGCGTATTTTCTGTGACTTTCAAGCTTCCGACAGTATGTCGTTGCTTTGTCGGGCTCCTTTTCGTCGTGCTGTTGGTGCTTGTTCTTCGTTGCAAAGCATCGGCCATAGATGTCGCGTTACTCTCCTGCGCGACCGCAAAAGCCTCATACTCCTGCACCAGTCGTTTTAGGCCTTCAATATCGTCCTTCAGGCTCTCGATGCCCGAATTGTTACCCTGGACCTCCACACTCTGGACGTTCCCGAAGAAATCGACGACCCTACGACTCCTCCCAGCCTGCTCCCCCCCGGGGAACAAATCCCACCTCACGCCAGGGTTCGAATGAATCTTCTGCACATCGTAGCTGTCGAACAGATCACCCAGTGTCTTGTCCGACGTCGGGCCCGTGACCTGCGTCTCCAAAAACTCCAAAACGTAGTATGTCCAGCGGTCAATGACCGCGACGCCGACATCGTTATCGGCGTGGTGGGAGTAGGAACTCTCGTCTTCCTCGGACGAGCCCGTCGCGATGATGCCCTCGGCGTAAAACTGCCGGTAGAGCGTGTTGGCCTGACACGTGTCGATCATGAACAGCATCTCGTTGTACCGCTTCTTCTCCCTCATCTGCGAAAAGGCGTCGGCCAGGTCCCAGCTCGAAATCTCCTCGCTGTCCTGGAACTTGAGGAACTCGCTGCCCCCGTGGCCCGTCATGTAGATGAGGATATTGCTGCCCTCGTCCGTCTGCAGTCTCTTGCTCGCAGGGACGCCCTCCTCCCAGCGGTCCGTCAGCAGGCGGATAAAGTTCTCCACCGTGACCTCGTAGCCGCGGTAGTCGACCTCGACGTTCTCGCCGTACAGGTCCATGCGGCGGTCCGCGTTGGAGTAGACGGTCCCGGAGAAGGCGTTTCGCGGGTTACACGCCATGTCGTCCGGGAGGAGGAGGAGGATCTGAGAGTCCGGGATGCCGAGGCGCTTGACCGTGCGGTAGAGCGAGAGCGTGTTGGCCAAGTGGCGGTAGTTGAACCAGAAACGGGAGGTCGACACCAGCACAGCCCAGTTGGAGGTATGAGCGGCACAGGTGAGCGCGACGAGGGCGAAGAGCGCCCATAGTGAAGGTATCGGCTTCATGAGGGCCGTGTGGTCAAGCCTCTCGCCCTCGAGCGAAACAGTGCGTCTTTTTACGTAGAGACTGTCGAGGCAGAAGGAGAAGGATGATGATGAAAGGATGGCATCCCAGTCCCCTCTCCCTTTTTTTCTATTTCAGGATCACCATACGGGAAGTAAATCTCGCAATGTGGATTGGGGATGGATGAGTTGGTAAGCAGCTCGGCAGCAACAATGGAATGTCCGGAGTGCAGCCAGGGTGTCTTGTCGGAGAATCTTTGTTCCGAACCCCTTTTTGGTCATATCTAGAGAGAAAGAGAGAGAAAGAGAGACAGAGAGAACTCGATTGATCTATGCGTAAAAGTCCATGGATGGATTCATTATGAAAAGCAGCGATCACTATGAAAGCACCACACTTGCTCTGCTATCTCCAGCGCGAAGTCTTGCGTGGTAGGGCCACCCCAAGACACCACCCCCTGATAAACCTGGCACCCCAATAAATGCTGTCAACGATCCTTGCAGTGTCGTCTATTTAGCAGCCGCTTCACCCTATTTTCAAACACTTGTCTCTTTGGTCTCGACTACACATTCCGCGCCATTCAAAACTTCAATCTGTCATAGGGAGGTGCCACTTCAAGGGAAAATCCGAGTTCAGCGATGCAGCCTTGTCGGTCGATGATTCGATTCTCTGCTGTGGGGTGGCCAGAGAAAAGCCAGTCTTGAAGACATCCACAGAGCGTCTCGAAGGATTCCAACGGCATCTCTATCGGATATCGCGTCTCATCAACTCCCGCCATGTGATCCTTGTGGTGACCGCGAAGGAACAGCCGCAGCTTGAAGGGAGCCCGCGTGCCCTCCCTGCCCGGTCCGGTGGATTCCAGGCTCATGTTGTGTACGGTTTGGACTTTGTGCATAGCTCTGACAAAGTCACGTATACCGCCACAAGTCTCATAAACCCAGTCCGCTGCGCTGCTTGGCAGCCGAAACCTCCATGGGATATTGGTATTCATCGGGTCTCTGAATACACTCGCATCCCGAGAACCAGTACTACTACTAGCGGGGATGCGGTAATCCACGTGCACAATGATATCCAGCGTTGACAAGGAGAGGTGAGAGCCGGCCTGAAAGATGAGGAATTGGCCAATTTGCTCGAGGTAAAGTTCCAGCTTCTTTTTTTCCCCAGGTCCGTATAACTCCACGTGTATGTTCAGATGCCTCATGTTCTTGAACGCCGTTGTGAAGGCGCCGAACGCGGTATTCCCGGGAAGTTGCATTTTTGGTATATAGACAAGCATAGGCCCTTCTAGCGAGGCCATCACTGGGCGACCACCGTTTAAGGACTCATTCCTGAAAGTCTGTGTAGGCGATGCATTTCGCAGGTTCTCAAATGTCAAGCCGTGGAAATTGACTGTCATGGTGAAGACATGCTTCTCGGGGAGTCTCTGGACGTGGCTGTGGAATTGTCTACACGAGGCTGCAAGGCCCGCAAGGCCAGTGCTTCGTCGCTCCTTGGGAACGGATGGGGCCGCCCATGCAAATTCAGGTCTGAAGTTCGTAAAATATTGATTTGGATTCCGGCGGACGGAGTCTGCGAATCGCTCCGTATCGCCCTCGAGCCCTTCGACACCTTTAAACCTCCACATGGCTTCAACTTTTGCGAGAACCAGGGTCCTCTTGTTCTCACCAGCTTGGAACGGCGTCGGTCTGGGGCCATGATCGAACAAGAGATATTCACAGATGTGAGCGAGGATCTCATTCGGCAAATCCGTGAGTTGTTGAGGACGATGAATGGGTGGCTCGGCGGGTTTGGGGTCCATGATCGCAAGTTGATCTGCTCTTGCTCTATCCATCAAGCACTGCTGACAAGTTTGAAGAGGACGGCTTCTCAAGAGATTGAGGAGATTGCTGAAAAGGGGATGGACCGATCAAGGGAAGTTTGTAGGCTCTTATGGCAGAGCAGAGGCAGAGGCAGAGAGTTGGGGCGTTGTGAAAGTGAATTGAGCATATAACAGGTCCAATTTTACTCACTTATATTACTGACAGAGTACGCCACGACACTTGAATGACCCAGAGACAGGGCAGTAGAGCCCGAGGCAGTAGATTCAACAACGGTCAAGGATGTGATTGTGAATGAAGATTGAAACAAAGCCGCTCAAGACATCTGGGGGCAAAACAAAGCCAGAAACAGAAGTGCCATCCCCCCAAGGATGCGGCATAATGACCAGGTTTTTGCAAAGACAAACTTTTTGTTCCAATAACTCAGGGTATCTGTGGTAGGTAGTGTTGATGTCAACAAGCCAGGTGACTGGTTTTTTGCTCACACAATAGCTCTTTCATCTTGTTAATACAGGGGTGCTGGGTTCCTTCTCTCCACTGAGGAAGCGCCCGTCAAAGCCAACAAAGAACATGGGGTGTGAAAGAATGGTCATGATGATGGCAAGCTCACAGGCTTTATCTCGTGCCAGGCTTGAACATAACTGTCATTAAGCGTCCCCTTTCGCGCACAATGAAAACTTGCTTCCTCCTGGCAAGAGAGGTTATGTTTGCTAGTAGCGAGCCTGGAATCCCAGGTGTCGCGGAGGTGTGCCTTGGATGGTCACGCTGATCCGACTCCTCTCGTTGCCGTCGATTTCGTAAGGAGAGGGTGGCTTCGGTGGCGCCTGGATCTCGAAGACTTGGGTCCTGGGGGCGTCCCTCACATTGGCACTTGTCGCGTCGAGCGCTTTCGTTTCCAGCTCATATCTCGGAGGAGGGTCCCTCGGGTTTCCTCCTGCCATTTCTACCAGCCGTCGACGGCGTCTCGTTCGAATGTATAATGCGACGATCAAGGCTCCTCCAAGGATCAGGGCGCCGATGCCGATGCCGATGCCCGCACCAGCAGCTGTGCTGAGTCCCTTGGACGCAGGTTTAGTAGATGGAGGAGCGGTGGTGAGAGGCGCTTGTCCCGTAGTATTGGGGTTGAGAGGGCTAGACACAAAGCATCCGTTGTTAGATTTTTGCAAATCGCAGGTATGTGGATTGGACCTGGGTTCTCACCTGTCAAGTATCTGCAACACGCCATTAGAGGTGAGATAGTCCCTCGCCTTAATGAGAGCCGCGTCGACATAGAACTGACTATCCACCTCGGTCATGGAAGCGGATATCTTCTCCAGCGTGGGAATCTTGGTGTTGTTCTTGAACTCCGACGAGTATATCACCGGGCCTTGAGAGATGCTGTATTCCAAGATGGAGTAGAGGTCGGTTTGCGAGAGACCATCCCATCCAGTGAATCCAGCCGAGAATCTCGTCGAATTGGGCGCAAAGATGGTGAGATCCGACAGCGAGTTCACAATCTAGACGTCCTTGTTAGCCTATGCGGGCATTTGCAGAGACGATGGCCCCTCGCTAGTGACCTGGCACCTGGTCACTCACCTCGACTGCGGGCGAACTGGGCTTGAGGAAGCCTCCTATGCTCATCAGCGCCACCAGATCCGTCAATCCGACCTTTGTGGCGGTTGCCGGAAATGATAGCGGAATTGTGAGCACCGAGTCGATTATGTGGATGAGGCCTCCCAGATAGAAGATGTCCTTGGTCAGTCAGCATTCTCGTCGATTGATATTGGGTATCGAAACAACCTACAGCCTCGACCACACGAGATTCGGCCTTCACTCCGCTCACAACCGCGGGCTGGTTGTTCAGGGCAGTCAATTCCACCACCTGGCCGCCCGTGACATTGGTGTAGTTGGGATGGGTCAGCAGGGTAGGCACAAATAGTGGCTGTAGGCCAAACGAGGCCGACGGATGAGTTCCATGGACGATGTGGTATTCGAGCAACGCCCGGACGGCATCGGTATTGTTGGCCAAGTCTGGATTCTCATCACCAAAGGCGGCCAGAGCTTGATCATTGGGAATGAGAACTGCGAGACGACTTAGTCTGGATCATGAGCAACGAGAGGTCCGGGTCTTCAAACCACTGAATGTCCCTTGATTCAAAGTATCGACCAGATCTGTAAACTGCTCCAAGAGTCCGACGAAGGTGGAAATACCAGTCTGTTGCTGCAGGATGGTGAGAACATCTTGACTGGCCGCAAAACAACAGGCCACCAGGCTCAGCGTGGCGAATGCTACCCGGAGCAGCATCATCATGGTACATTTGCAGAGCACTGGCAGAGGGCAAGAAACATGACTCTACGGAAAACGCCAGCGGCATGGATATATGAAGTGGGCTCGAATGAGGATGGAGACCTTTATTATTTGACGGCCACGCACGGCCACGCCAGTTCGTCGGCTCCACGACGGAGCTCCATAGGTGAGCCGTCTTGCTGCCGATACACTTGAGACGCGGTCTTCAGGAGATTGTCTGAGACGCAAGACAACGCCCGAATGGTTCGAGGGTTAAGGAGATGCCAGAGAGGGAGAACATGGGTTAAGGTTTTCGCTTACAGCGTTGGGAATGGTGGGCAGACAAACGAGGGGGCCTGACGACGAATTTGATTCCTCGTACGGAGGGGAAATGCCGATGTGATGGATGCTGGAGAATCTCGGGGGCCAACGAGCAAGGGATCTGACCGAGACGAGACTCTTCTCTGTACCGAGTAAGGACGCCATTCATGCAGGAGGTTTGTTTGTTGCTGAGGCCCTACTGCCCGTGAAATCCCTGTCCAGAATGTCCTTCTTAGCCCGTGTTTCAGCTGATGGACTAGTGCCCGTCCTGCAAGGCACCATCGATGGTGTCGACATAATACTGGATGATTTCCCGCCGGCGCAGCGCCATGCAGCTTGGTGGCGTCCAAGTGGCCGTTGAAGGGTTCCAGGTGGACAAGCCAAAACCATGCAGTAGAACAAAGTCAACCTGACAACTTTTGATGAATAGTCTGAATCCTTCCATTCGTGGGCGTGGAAAGTCGCCGTGCCCAACGCAGTGTTTCCGTACGCGTTCAACGTGTTCGTCTCCAGCACAGAATATTCAAAGACAATTGAATTATTGCCACAAAAAGTAAAGGTAAAAGAAAGGACGATCGACAGAACTGGCCCCGTTGATGTGCTAGGCAAAGAGAAATCTCGCTTTTCCCGAGAGTTTTGTACCTGAAAACCTTCCAGCGTTTGGCGAGGACTTGCAATTTCGCCCTCGGCGATATCAGCTTCATTATTTGCGGGCGAAGAAGGAAACAACAATAATGAGTCCTCGGTATCTCGATTGTCGTTGACAGTAAATATGTACCGAGTACTACTCGTACTCCGTACAAATGAGGCGTCTGTGGTCTCTTTTCACCCCCATCTCTGCAGGTACTGGATTGATCTGAGCGCCGCACCTTGTTCACCCGTGCGCCATGACAAGCCAGCCGTTGCTGATCATGCTGGGGGTTGTAGTTCCTCACTACATTCGAGAAGATTGCCCCTTTTGAGCCGACATACACCAGTAATAGAGGGTGGAAGACGATCAGGACGACAGAACAAGGAAACGAAATTGAGGCCTTTGGAAAATCATCATCAAAACATGCTCCATACAGCTAGATTATATCAATATACGAGTAGACGACGCAGTAAGGCTCCTACTACAGCCCTATAATGAACGATGGATGCACAGAACCAGTTTTCTTCATCTTGTCTGGAAGGACAATGCCCCTTTTGAGGAGCCGTCTGTGCTTGAATACCCGATTTGGGCAACATTCAGCCTTGTCGCCAACGCCACCATGACCACCAACACCAACACCAACATCGCCAACTGGTCAACTTGCTTACTCTTTGTATCCATCAATCTAACCCACTGTAATATCCAGTGCCCATCCAGGGACCAAAGTGGCTATAATCCACTCTTGTTGGGTCTGTCAATGACTTCCCAAACAAAGTGACACAAACAACTAACCTCAACGTGGATCGTCCTCCTTCTCCCTCTCTTTCTCGATGACGAAACTCGCCATCATCATCACCATCATCATCACCATCATCATCACCATCATCTTGACCGTCTTCGGTCTGGCAATCTTGTCCCTGGTCTGCATGCTCTACAAACCACCAGAATGGCTAATATGCTGGGTCCAGAAGCGCTACCCGACCGTGCTGTTCCACGTCCCCACGGACAAAAAGATCGTGGCCCTGACCATCGACGATGGACCCTCGTCGCACACGCGAGGGATCCAGCGCCTCCTCAAGGCCCACGGTGCCACGGCCACGTTCTTCCTCATCGGGTCACACATTCCGGGGCGCGAGGACCTTCTTAGGGAATTGCTCCGGGACGGTCACGAGTTGGCCAACCACGCCATGTTCGACGAGATGTCGGTGCGCGTTCCGGCCGCAGAGCTTACGCGACAGATCGAAACGGTAGAGAGGCAGATTGCGGAGATCTACACCACCACCACCACCGCCACGGCAGACGCAGATGTTGGGGCGCGTGCTGTGACGCGGCAGCAGAAACAGCCCAGATATTTCCGGCCCGGCAGCGGCTTCTTCACCACCAAAATGCTCGCCCTCCTGGCACAGCCGCATCTAAACTACCGGCTGATTCTGGGCAGCGTCTATCCCTGGGACGCCCAGATTCCGTGGCCGAGGTTGAACGCGTGGCATATCCTGAGCAGTCTAACGCCAGGCGCCACTATCGTCGTTCATGACCGAGCGTGGACGGCGCCCATGTTGAGAATAGTCCTGCCAGAGATGACGAGACGAGGGTGGAGGGTAGGGACTGTCACGGACCTGCTAGGCCACTCGATCAATGGCGGCTAGGACTGTAAGAGAGCAGACGATGAGGGAGCATCGTTCAACAGAGGGAACAGCCAGCCTTCCATGGGAATGTCATGACCTTTTCTTTCGCAACCTAAACAGATTGTATCCCTCACGCGCCTTGTATGACTATGTACCTTGAGACAGGGTCCCCCATCGCCATGCAGAGAGAAATCCAACAAACTCGCGTCGAGCATCCAAAAAAGCACCCGGGCTTCACCGTTTCCATCTTAAGAGCCCCTCCCCCCCAGCGAAGCACTCTGCAAATCATCATCTTTCATCCCCATCCGAGGTCGTAACAAGAGCCATCAAACTTGCCATACATGCTCAAAGAACGGAGGCCTAAACCAAGGTGTGTACTCTCATACCCTCCAATGTACTCGGTCGACGTCCACAATCACATCCTGTATTGCCGTATATCACCGTCCAACAACAGCCTTCAGACTTAAACCCTCCAAAAACCCCGCAAGGTCCTCCTTCTTCACCTCGACAATGCAGTGATCAAACGAATCAATCTTGACGCGTGCATTAGTCTCCTCGACAACTTCTTGAAAAGCAATACCAAAGCGATTGTGGCCGTATCCTCTCTTCCGTTTCCTTTCTTGTTCAGCTTCGTCTTCTTGCTCGTCATCCGATTCCGAATCAGGCTCCGATTCGGATTCTGTCTCATCTTCATCTGCATCAGAGTCGTCGCCGAGTAGTTCTCTTTGAGCTTTCCGTGCGGCTCTCTTCTCTTCTCTGATCTTTCTCTTTTTCTCCCTTTCTTCTTCCCTTTTCTTTTTGCGCTCCTCCTTCTCCTTTCTGCTTTCGATATCTTCACCGCCACCGATCCCACCGCCCGTGCCTACAACAACATACGTCCCTCTTGCCTCGTCCAAAGCTGCAAGGACCAATGGGGTTGGTGGTTCTGTGCCGGTTTTGTCCCGCTCACTCACCGCAATCGCCTCACCGACCCATAACGCTAATTTTACCAATGCCCCGGGACTGTTCGCAAAAAGTACCAAGTCAGGTCCTTCTTTGACAACGCCCATACGAAACGCACGCAAATGGCGGATCTGGTGTTTCATAAGCAAGGAAGAGCCTGTGCGGAGGATTGATCGTAGCAGATGCTGCGCTGCTGGAATGGCGGCGATGAGATGAGTAGGGTGGTTTGGTGCGAGAGCGTCGTAAGCAGCGAAGAAGCGTGGCAGAAGCGTTTCTGAACGCTCCGGGATGTCATCGGCGGCGTTCGTTTGTTGCGAAGACGCCGCATATGATGTCGAGGAAGTCGACACTGCCGAGGATGTGGGGGTGTTGTTTGTGCCGACATCGAGTATTGCTCCTAGAATGACGCCCACGTCGACGGCAGAGAGTTGGGCTTTCCAGCCCCAAGAGCGGATGAAACCCCATCCTTCTTGTTCGTATGCTGCTCGCCCGGACCCGGAGGGCACAAGATCGTCGAGACCATAAACACCAGCATATTTCAGCAGGCGGTCCCGGAGAGTCTTCTTCAAATCCATGTCCATATGGGTATATGTCTGTTTGCACTGGGTCAAGGATACCCCCATCTTCGCAAGGAGTTTGTGAAGTCGCTTGATCCCGGACTCGTTCCAGACATGTAGTCGAGACGCAAGATAAGGCGAATGCAGCATGCTGTCGTACAGAGACCAATGCCTCAACAAGAGAAATCGCGGGTCTGGTGTCAGTCGAATGGACGTGTCGCTAGGTGAACCTGTGCTACCACTACTAGGAGATATTGAAGGCGATTGGTCTGCAGGTGGGGGATTCAAGCGTCTGACCTCGTCGCGGAGAAGAGCATATGTCTGAGAAGACCGTGTAGTCCGCCATCCTCTATGGTGCTCATGCGAGACGGTCACTGTTCTCGAGACGGATGTTCCTAGGCCAGTAGATGTGTGGCCAGACAGCTCGAGTGATGTGACACCAATGATGGCAAGCCACAAGATGTCGTTATCTTCGCGTCCTAGATCTGATGCCAGAGAATAAGCTAGTGTAGACACTGGCTCAGAGTAAGAAGTGCCCAGACTGTTGTATTGCCGGAGCACCGTTTCATGTTCTTCCCGCAACTTTCGTAACCGTCGACGTAGCTGTACTGCTGTTTGCGGTTTCGGCGATTGTGCTTTGGACACTGGGGATACTGGTTGGGAGGACGAAGGGCTCCTGCTTCGGGGTGACGCGATAGATGATCCCGAGTTGCTCCTCCGCCGTTGGCGTGGCCTCTCTTCATCTTCTTCGCTGTCCTCGTCTTCGTTATCGCGGTCAGACCAGGACTTCCGTTTTCTCGACGAGGCACTGTCTTGAGTTTCATCGTCCTCTTCCTGTTCGTCGTCACCGTCACTCTCATCGCCGTCGACTTGAGGCATTTCAGCTAGTGCACAATACGCGTTTCTTTCCGTTTCCAGGTCGCCTGCAATATCTCCATCATCGAAGACAATAATACCGCCCTTTCCGGGCTTGTAAGACTTTTGAATGCAACCCTTCTCCACCCCACGCACGCGTGGTCTCAGTTCGTTGACGACGTCGCCCGATGGCGCCTCAATCGGCTGCCCGCCAAAGACGTTGTCCAGGTTATATGGTCTTCTTGCATCCAGAACCCATACTTCAACCCCACACATCGTCTCATTCGACTCTTCGTCCTCCAGGCCTAGAAGAGCTCCCAGGTCAACGAGGCCTCCGACACCGAGACAAATAACTAGTCCACCACTACCGCCTTCGGTGGTTTTCATGGGCCGCACCAGTTCTTCGCCAGCTCTGGACAGGTCTGAATATCCCGAGACCGGCTGTATTTTGTGAGGGATGTAGTCGCGCTTGAGAAGCGCGGTGAGGATGCGACACGCGCATAGTGAATCAGGTTCGAGCGCAACCAGTAGCAGGACAGGAGGAGAAAGTGGGTGGTGGGAGCGGATGAGGTTTGTGTAGAGCTGTGAGATCAATGGACGCGGGAGGTACATGGCAGGACTTGAGTCGCGAGCAAGACTGGTCGGGGTTTGGCAGTTGTATTCCGGGGCATTACGAGGAGGAATCAGAAAAACATGATGGGTGATGTCGTTATTGGAAGCGTGTCCTAGAGAGTAATGATCAATATCCAACAGTGATCGTTAACTTGCGTGTGGGTGCTGTCTGCGGGTGGGTGGGTGTATGTGTGTTGTATGCTCGAGTTTTGTGAGGTGTGGATGTTCCAGCGGATCTAGTTGGTGTCGCGTGTAAAGACGCGTTCCCCGAGTTTGTTGCTAATAACGTCATGGCGGATTCCCAGTGCCAAGTCAGACCCGCCTGGCCGCCAAGCCACTCATTGCACTGGACATTGCCAGGAAGTGGTACTGTAGATATCAACATCATTCTAAACAAAGAACTACAAAAATAGCAGCAAACAAAATGTCGATTGAATAAGTACAAAACCCGGCAATACATCTTGGAACAGACACCCGCATATCCCACAAGATGCCCGCAAGAAAAGAACAAAAAGGCTGCACTATCCCTCAGATCTGCATGCCTACTCACGGCGATCTGGGCTCGAGCGGCGCAGGATTTCTCTCACTACCACCTCTGATATACCATGATGGCCTGGTCCGGTGGGGTGGAAGACTCTCCACTTTTTTATCTGTGGCCATTCAGGAACGACTTGAGGGTCTGGCATGCCCTCGTCATCACCCAAAAACTCTTGAGACGCAGACCCGACGAGGGAGAGTGTAATATCAGGTGGTGGCATGTTGAAGAACCAAGTGTCGCTTCGATCAATCTCTGGTTCTTCAACCCCAGGCTCACAAAATCGATGGCCATCAAAAGCACCGTCGATGTCCAGATAAACAGCGCCATGAAGCTCTGTCGTCGCTTTGATCACGTCGTTTAACATCATCACTAATTGGTTGAGTTCCCTTCTCTTGGTCTTCGTCAGGTAGTCCAACGGTCTGGTTTGGCTGAAAGTTGCAGTGTCACAATAATCGGTGTCCTCATTAAAAAACCTGGCATAGCCAGTAACCATCAGGAGTGCGCCAGGTTTCAGATGCTGAACGGCTCCAGAGATGATATTCTCCAGGTTGAGAAGCGCAGTGGTCTCGATGATCTCTCTGGCCTTGACAAGCTGGGCTTCACAACCTATCGATGGCTGCCAATGATAAACGCACTCATTCAAAACCACAAAGAAGTTGACATCATTTCCACTGGCTGTCAGGGTGACAAGGTCCGAGTCGCCGATATACGGGACTTGATCTCGCAGGATGACGGTACTAGTCAAACCGCCGCATGCAAGATGCTTGAATTTCGCTTTGTCGATGTTGATCAGGGAGTTGTTGGCGACTTGGATGGGATATGCGTCAGAATAACGGCCACACCGAAAATCCGCATACGGTGGCCATCCAGGGGTACCTGCTCCTGCTCCTGAAGCATAAGAGTCCCCAATTGCCGCGTAGGAGCGTATTGGTCGATGTGCAGTGCGGAGGTGAGCAGGGATTGACTGGCCGCAGAAGAGAAGGAGCAACAAGGGAGGTAACCAGGCGGATGCCATCGAGCAGGCTTCAGATAGTACTCGGATATAACACGCCGCCGGCGCTCAGACCTGTTAACATCATATAAACCTCTCCCCAGATATCAGGAGGAATGATTCGTGAATAGGACGAGAAGCACGAGACAAGATCACAAAGACATGTAACAGGGTGTCGTCGAGGTTGCCTTGACTGCTGACTCATTCACGAGCCGCGCTACTGTCAGACAGATCAATCCGAGGTCTCGAAGCGCGCACGTGGGAGAAATTGCCTGTCAGACCAAAACTTATCAGTCATGAACGTCATGGACCGTGCAGCGTCACCTGGTCGCTGGTCGCAGGTCGCAGTTCTCTTTCTCCTCAATCTTACCATCCATCCTAGTCTCGATTGAGCCTGGATGCTGTTGAACACGATCCCCCACAAGGTCTTCAGTCTCAATCCGATTCGTGCCTTGTGTCAAACTTCTGTATTGCTATCATTGTACAAATACCCAACGCCCTGTCCTCCTTGCACCCGCTGTCTGCAACCATCCGATGCCAGGCGCGGAATGAAGCGATCTGCCACCGCCAAAGCTCGTCCCAAACTTCCAGATTATTGCGATGTTGAGCCACGGCGCGATGAGTCCGGAAAACCCATCTGGCCTGCTCCGGAGGCTGCTATGGAGGAGGCAAGAGCCTTTATAAAGGAATGGTGTGACCGACCTTGCCACAGACTCCTTGTCCAACCTTGAACTCGTAAATGGCAATGCTGACTAGAGCAGTGCAGCAAGTGGCAAGAAAGCACTCATTGTTCCCGACAAGGACGCCGATGGCCTCTCATCAGGTGTCATCCTACATCGAACGCTGACGGACCTCGGCCTTGATCTGTCCTTGATCGATGTCCACCTGGTTCAGAAGGGTTCTACCATCCATGCTCAGTCGGAGCGTGAAGCCATGGCTGCGAAAAGTAAGCGAAGAACCGAACCTCATTGATTTAATGCATACCCTGACACCATTGATCAAGAGCCGGCATATGTAGTTGTCCTCGATCAGGGATCAATAGCAGCACCACCCGTGGTTGATCTACACTACACGAAATCTCTGATCATTGACCACCATTTGAGTGATCATTTCCCTGAAGGTGCTCACGTGGTCTCAGCCTGCCATTATCCGCCGGTCGCAACATCGTCTCTCCTCACTTACGAGATCTGTAAGATTCTGGCACCTAACATAGCTTCCTCCTGTGCCTATCTCGCTTGTATCGGCACGCATGGTGATCTTGGAAATACCTTGAAGTGGTCTCCTCCGTTCCCAGACATGAAAGAGGCATTCAAATTGTTCACCAAAAAATCTATCAATGATGCAACCTCGCTTGTCAACGCACCCAGGCGAACCGCGAAATATGACGTTATCACTGCGTGGACAGCTCTTCTCGCATCAAAGGATCCCAAAGACCTGTTAAGCAATGGACGACTCCAGAGCGCACGTGCCGAGATCAATACGGAGGTAGAGTTGAACACACACACACCTCCAAAATTCAGCCCCGATGGACGAATCGCTGTCCTGCGGATCAACACACCTGCGCAGGTGCATCCAGTCATTGCCACTCGGTGGGCCGGATATCTGAACTCCAAAGCTTTGGAAATAGTCCTTTGCGCAAATTCAGGTTATCTCCCTGGGATGGTCAACTTCTCTTGTCGTATCGCCCGATGCGCAAGGTCAAGAGATCCACCTGTCAATATCATTGACAGCTTGAAAGCTGCTGCAGATCTGTCATCCGACGGCCTCAGAGCTAGGCTTGGAGAGAGCTTCGCTAGAGGCCACAAAGAAGCCAGCGGTGGGATTGTGCCTGTTGAAGCCTTCGAGGAGCTGATGGCCCTGCTTAAAATTGGTGAAAAGCCGCAGAAGAACCGTGATGATGCGGATGAGCCGAAAGCAAAGAAGGTCAAGACCGTCGAAAAGAGTCCACAGAAAAACACGCTTGTGAACTATTTCCGGAAGCCATGAATTGCCCTCGATTGCCCGGTGCATATTCCATTCGGTCAACTGGATTAGGCCTTGGCGCCTTCCACAGATCCCAGTGTTTGGTATGTATCATGCAACTCCCGCAGGACAGTTGGCAAAGTCTCCTCGAGGGCCATATTGACAAGCCACTGAAACATCATGGGATCCCCGCCAAAGAGGGGACCACCCATTCTTTCAGACAACCTCTGGGGTAGATGGGCTTCGAGATAGACGTTGTAATCTCGGACATATTGCCTTATGGGCGGGGAATTTGCATCCTCAATATACGGGGTGCCTGGACGTTGCGCATCGGGAAAGAGTATGTCGAAGATTCCATACCACACCGACGTGGTGTCTTTGCGCATCTTCCTGCGCTTGACTGCTTTATACTGCTCGTGGGTCATCTTCTCCTCAAAGGGACAGTCTTTCAGATCACAAGCTGGCCTTGCCCGCGCGTGAAGCTCGCCGTCGCTTTCTGACTCGAATTCGGTATAGCAGGACGAACAAAAGTATTCCGGCCGCCGATGGACCCGGTAAAGATGCTGCTTCAGTCGGGGGATGCTTGTCAAGCATACACTTCGACATCGACGATACGCCTTTTCATGCAGATTGGGGTTCATTTCCGAATATCTATTTGGATCATATTTCGCATAGGGACAGGCAAGAAGACCTTCTGCATCAAGATCTTCCAGGATGGGACTCTCGATGCGCGGTCTCTGTGGCTTTCTTGACTCATCATCGCCGTCGACTTTTCGGCGTTTGTTCTTTCCGGACGATCCTGACACATTGTTCACCTGCTTGTTCGATGAACAAGACCCCGGGGTGGACTGGATTCCACCGTTGGAGCTTGTGGGTGATTCTTGCGAGCTCTGAGGAGTGTGTACGGTCATCCCTCCTCTGTAGGAGACGAACTCTCGTATCAAGTCTTGCCCGATCTCCAAAACGAGGTCTTCGATTTTTTGCTGACTTCCCATGTCGAAGGACGGCGGGGACTGAGAGTTGAATACAAATGATTCCTCTCCGGAGGATGCAATGTCCATCTCTTGGGGCGTTGTTGAAGGGAGAGCAAAGGACTCCCCGCCACCTTTGACGCCTTCATGGGTCCCCATGGTTTCATCCTTCCCATCATAGTCACCGAAGAAACTGAGGTCCTGGTATAACAGTGGTGAACTAGCCCTGTCACTATCACCTCCGTCGGTCGCGTCGAAGGCGAACAACAATGGTGATGTGACCCGAGGTCCTCTGATGGGCAGCCGGCGCGTTGCGATGTGCAGTGATCGCGTTGATGTCGATCTGGTGCAGCGAGCAGCTTCTCCTTGCTTACAGCCGTCGTTGACGCTTCCGGTCATCCCCTCCAGGACTCCCTGATGCCAACCATCTTGGTCGACCAGGGTGGAGCGCGAACCCATAGCCGATGTTCGAGTAGATAGGCCATGGCCGGGGTGAGACTGTGAGGGAATGCTCTTTTTGAAATCACTCGAAGAGGCTTGAGCTACAGCCTCTTTCTCCGGGACAGGCAGTGGAAGCTCCTTGTCTTCATTCGCAAAGCCTGGCTCCCAGCAAGCTCCAGAGCTCCAACCCAGACGCGACGGTGGTGATGCACTATTGTTGGGAGATGTCCGAGGAATGGTATCTCGACGGCTCCTAGGCTCACCACCTACTAGCGTGTAGCTCGTCGATTTTGCGCTTGCTATCGGATCTCCTGCAACATCCAGAGAAAATTCTGGCCGCACTGGAATGGAGCTGCGAGGCTCTTTATATGTCTCAGGAATGGAGCGTGGTTCCGCGGCCGCCAGAGGTCTAGTTCGACGATGTGACAATGGGTTTCCAGTACTATAAGAATACATTTTCGACCGATTCGGAGCCTAAGAGGTGGAAGGACAAATAATTTGTAAACCTGGACGACGTTGGCAAGCGGCGAAATTTTCCGGGATATTATAATGATCGGCGCGTCACTGGTGAAGACAGATGATGGGAATATGTGGAAGGGAAGCAAAGAAAAGGAGCAGGAGCTAGAGTGAGAAGATATGGGCGGAAGTGGGTGCGTGTCGAAACCAACAGGCGGTGCATCAAGGTCCAGGCACACAGCACGGATTGAAAGTCACAGATGTGTGTATTCGGTACCGCGACCTTTGCAGGGAGTTTCGCACAGCCACGAAAAGGCGTCTGAGTACGTAGAGACGTGCTATTGGCCGGGAAGTCTCAGCTGGAATGCATAAGCGCCCATCCGGGGAAATGGATTAGGCATGGCAGAGGGCGAAATATCAACTCGGCAGTTCTCGGTCTGTGGCGGGGGACATTGGATTACGAGGTCTTCCATCATCCTTTTTTTTTTCTGGCCGGATTCATCCATCTCGGTGTTTGACCAAAGGGAGTCTGGTGGGAACGAATCCGCTGCGGGTTGTAACGCAGGTTCAGGGGTATACCAGGGGTGCGCCTTCACCGCAACTCCTAGTCGGGCAAGGCTGAGAGAGATTGGGCAGCAAGAGTTTGCCTGGATTTCGGAAAGCTTTGACGGATGCAAAAGAGGGGCGGTATTGGGGACGAACAGTGCAAACAATCAAAGAAAACAAGGGCAGAGGGTCATTAATTCCATTATTTGGATATGTACTCACTTGGTTGGTGTCTGTTTCCTCTCTCTCTCTCTCTCTCTCACACACACACACACACACAAAAACATCTCACTCCAAACCACCAACCACCACCACCGCTCCCCCGGAGACCCGGAGGGCCTTGAGTCCTGTTGACCAAATCTCTCGCGTGCGCTCACACCTGATCGCTGTGCCTCCTGCGGACGGTGACCATGACGTCCTTTGGCTGGTGGAACCAGCCCTGCCAGACGGACCACTCCTTGCCGTCCATCTGGAGATCAAAGTCGTAGTCACGCAGGATGGCCGGGAGTAGCTTGTACATTTCGGTGGTGGTGATGTGCTTGCCGATGCAGATGCGCTTGCCGTAACCGAAATGGATCATGTGACGTTCCATGTGGGCGGCCGCCTTCTCGCCGTCGCGGAACCAGCGCTCCGGGATGAACTGTTCGGCGTCGGCGCCGAAGACGGCCTTGTCGAAGTGCACCGCGTTGGCGTTCATCATGACCGTCGTGCCGCCGGGGAAGAAGCGCCCGCAGATCTCCACCCCCGGGTACGGCACGACCCGCGGCAGGCCCGTGCCCAGTGACCCGTGCATGCGCATCGCCTCGCGCACCACCGCGTGGAGGTAGGGCAGCTTGATGGCGTCGTTGTACCGCACGGGATACTTGAGGGTGCCGTTGGCAAAGGCCTCTTCGATCTCGGCGCGCACTTTGGCGAGCGTCGGCGGGTTTTTGTGCAGGTAGTAGAAGATGGCCGTCAGCGCAATGTACGTGGTGTCGGAACCCGCCCAGATCATGGCCCAGAGCTCCGTGGTGACGTCGAGGATGCCAAAGTCGTTCTTGGGGTCGTTGGCGATGTCGATGAGTTTGCTGAGCACGTCGTTCCGGTTGTACGGTCTCCCCTCGGCCATGTCGTCCAGACGCTGCTTCACCGCTGCGTGGGATTGGTCAATCACGGTGAAGAACCCCTTTGCTCCCGCGCGTGTCGCGGGATAGATCATCTGGGACAGAAAGTACAGATTGCGAAAACCCCACGGTATATTGTTCAATGCCGCAGCAGGGTTGGGCATGACGTCCATCAAATGACACCAGTTGTTATAGTCGACTAGAATGTATATGTCAATGCTGAACTAGGGTGGTCTTGTTTTCTCTCTTTCGACGAGATTGGGAACTTACTGTTGTCTCTGATGAAGCCAAACCCACCTTCCCGCCCATAAAAAATCTCGCCAATGATGTCAAAGGTGTATTTGCGAATCCAAACGGACACGTCGAAGACTTCTCCGGTGTCGGCAAAGTGATCCATCTGCTTGCGGAAGAGGGCGATTACCCTGTCCACGCACGGCTCGTACTCGAGCACAGCAGCTTGAGTGTACAGGTGCGCCACCGTCCGTCGTCGCCAGGTGTGAGCTGCCTCATCCCGTTCGGCGAAGCTATCCTTGCGCTTGGAAATGTGCGTCAGGAAATTGTTGTAAAAGTCGCCCTTGGTAAATTCATATTTAGGACCGTATATAGTGTCGACGGCCGAGGCGTCGGCGACTGAAACCTGATTTGGGGCAAGCCGGACAAGGTAGCCATATTTCTTGTGGATCGGGAGTTGGTAGTCTTGACCCCGGCCATTTCGCACGGCTCGAAAGTACCAGAGACTGGTGATCGAAGCCCAAAATGGTCCGGGGATATCCCTCAACGGGTGGAAGTAGCGATTGTAGACGGCGCACGCAAAGACATAGGCAATGATGCTCGGAATGAAGATTTGGAGCCCAAATATAATGTTGTCCTTCGACAAGAGGGGTGACAACAGCATTTTGTTGTATACGTAGCACTGGTACACGAGGGGAGGGACTGTGTGAGGGAGGGTTGCACAAAGAGAAGAGAACGAATAGGCGCTGAATGAATACAAGCATGTACCTTGAGGTCACCTCACCCGAGTCGAACTCCACGAGACCAGCCTGCCCACCTATCGTCACCCTCCACACTCCTCTCCATGCATGCAGATGCTTCAGGGATGATCCCACATGAGGACATGGAATGCGGTTGGCTGTTGATTCATGTTTTCTCGGTACAGCTCTTCGAATATCCTGCATGGTCTGAGGATCGGGCCAAAGGGTTCGATGATTGAAATACGTGGCATCTCCCTGACGCCTCGTGTGAGAGCGTCATCACTGAATCGAGTTAGCAGTCAACGGAGGGATGAGGGCGAAGAATGCCCACAGGGCCAACAGGAATTGAGTGTCTATGCCCAGGGCAGCCCACAGGCTGCGACCGAGGTCTTTCGTCCGTCTTCACTGATATGGCCTGCTGAACCTCATTCGACCGTCACGCACGCACAGGGGACTACTGCACTTCATGCAGGTGTGCACGCTGCAGGCGGCAGTTCGTGGAATGGCGAACTAGAGATGCTGGAAAAATGCGGAGCCGCTGATGGGATCGATTGACTCTGAGGGTTCTGGGAGGGTGTAGGATGTGCATTCGATGGAGAACATGTGTGCCGTCAACAAGAAGTCGTGTAAGAATCTGATTGAGCGAGAGGCGCCACAAGCTGCGTCTGACGATTCCCAGTTCCATGGTGTCGGGACCTTGACGGAAAGTCACGCATCTGCCAAGATTTGGCCAACACGACGAGCACCAAGCAACCACGAACTCGCACGAACAATTCCTGTACTGGTGATGTACATAAGACTTGCACCGAATGAACCTTAAAACACCCTGTCATAACTCTTTCTACCTAAACTGCGAAAACGTCCTTCTCGTCTGTCGGCTTTGCGGCTAGCTCTTCACGGTGCCATCCCAGCGCTGACTCTACGAGTGATGGAGATCGCACCGATCATTCCATGCCAAGTCGCCTTCAATCCCCCGTGCCAATGCTATATTCCACCATATCACGTTTCAAATGATCGACAAGGCAATGCCAACACAGGAATCTTCTAAGGAAGAAAGCTTTATCTCGGCAGGATATAGCATCCACGGGACGAGTCGTGCACGCAGACAAGAGCTAGAAGCAAGGGCGCCAGGTGATGCTGGAGATCCCAAGTCAAAAGTGATACTACCATAATTCGAAACCCCTCAATATCTGCAACGTCGAGGACATGGCCAGGAACAGTTAGAATCGAACATTCGCAGACCGTGGTCATAGGGCAGATTAAATATCCAATACTGCTGCGTAGATCAGGCATGTTAATACCGTCAAGAGAGCTTCTTTCAAGATGACTTGGTTTAGAATCACTGAAAATAGCGTGAACCCAAAATGGCACGGACCCAAGCATACTTTCGAGTCTTGGTGGAGGCAAGCTGGCAATGGCTGGCGGTAGACAGCCAGCCAAACCTCCAAACGCCCATAAATGACTACTACCGGACAGACCAGCAGCTCGTACATATTTTGAACCAGAAACGTCCATGTTCCTCTCGCTATTCGTCAACCTTCTTCCCCATTTCTCGTTCAGGAGATGGAACGAATAACGGAATTGGCGGGTGGTCATCGGACCACTCTCCTCTCAGACCGGTTTCCACAATCTCTGGCTTAAACTTGGACAACGGCTTCAGAGTGATTTTGCGGTCGGGGCGGCCTAGTGGTGTCTCCAAATCAGATAGCACCGCTTCAGACACCCTAGCGAGAATAAAATGCTCTTGCGCGTTACAAAACCTTGGAACGGATTCAGCCGGTTTGTCTTCCTCTGCGTCTCCGTCATGGCTGTGATTGTCCAAGAGGCAAAGCAGGTAGTGGCCAGTTGCCACCCCAGTGCCCGTGATTTCTACGAAGCCCGTGTCATCCCAACGGTTGCTGTCACCGGCACTTTGTTCTCGAGCCAGAAATATGTTGTCTAGATTGTGTCAGTGGAATCCACGACCCGCAGGTGGCTTGTCGACAGCTTGGATTCCACACTTACCTAATGGGACGAATAGGAAAGCCTGGTCTTCTGTGCCATTCTCGCCTGCTTTATATCGTATCCCGAACAAGGGGCCGGTATTGATCGCTGTGATGTCGTAGAACTCTCGGACACTCAGTTCTGTCTCTAGAGGACCTAGGACTCGGCCGTTGAGGCGCAAGGCCAGCGGGGTGCTTTGATAGCGTCCGAGATCAAGATCTGGCTTGATGGAGAGATATTGGCTCCAAAGCCATGAGTTCACCTTGCCCAACGTCTTATTGTTCGCACTCCAGTCGGCCATCCGCAGACAAGCGGCGAATTCTTTGTTGGGTATGTTCTCGACAGTCCTCAGGCTCCGATCCAGGTTCTGATCGATCAGAAGCGTAAATGGAAAAAG